TCGCAATCATCGCCAGTGCACATTTTACGTGCTCGGCCCTGTACCGTGGCCCTCCCGAAACGTGGAATACGGACGATACGTGACCGGAATGCGCTGCTGCGTCGGGACGCCGGGCGTCGCGTTGTCCGGAATTCACAACGAGGCCACTCCGGTGCCTCTACTGCCACCGTCACGTAAATTCGCCACCCGATGCGATGTTCTAAAAAATACACAACTCCCTTCCTGTTCTTGCTTTAGTCAGGTATAACGAACGTTGTCAAACCGGTTAGTTTATTGCCTTTCTGTGCAATTTGGACGGTGTCATCTCCTGGATCGACGTTTCTTAAACGAAATCTCAAAAATGTTGTATGTGACGCGAAATATGTATTAAACCACTATGTAATATTAAAAATGACAATTATCCAAAGTTGTAACAATTATTAAAAGTTAAATTTAGATAAAATCAACTTCCACGAATGTTCGAGCAAAAATTTCCAAATCAAATTTCGTTCATTTGGGAGTAAGTTTAACGAGGGCGATATTCAACAACGGTTTGCGGTAAAACTAAGAGAACGAACTTGGAGATTTAAGTTGGTTTTGAAATTAAATTATGCGTCACGAGGCCTTGTGAAATTATCTTAAATTATCGTAAATTTGTCGGAGACGTGTAATCCTGAATAAAAAGTAGACGTTAAAAATGTTGAAGCAAAGCTTTTTTCGACTTTTTCTTTTAACTCTAAGTTTTAAAAGAGTAGTCTTACTTCCATACTTTAGTTAACGTGATTCACTCCACTTGTTTAACACCGTAATAGCTTCATTTAACGGTCGTTGGATAATTAAAGTTTCCCAACGGTTAGGTGGGACAAAGGGAGAGCTAGCCCATCCGTAACTTTCGGAAAATAAAAATAATTCGACATTGAATTACCTCGAGAACGAGGGCGGTCATTCTGGGCCTACAGTCCCGTGCCTTTCGTCTCGGTCTTCCAGCTCCTTCTTCCTGTCTTCCAATTTCTCCAAGCCAGTTTCCAGGTCACTGGTCTGAAAAGTTCCCAGGAAATTGGATAGTTGTTGCTTTATGAGGCAATCGCGCATCAAAACTTTTTTCGGTGCGGGTGTGTTGTTGTCTTTTTGAAGGGATACGCTCTAACGCCGTACACAGTTAACTTTTTTATTACAATTCTATAAATACTTTGAATTTATTTATTTGAATAATAACTGTAACCACTTTTTTCTCCTTATATTTTTAATAAGGAGAAAAAATATATGTACAGGGTGTCCCGTTAAGCGTACGGAGCGGCTGTATCTCAATAACGGTAAGGCCTAGAGGTTTGGGAAAAAATCCTTATAAGCAAAGTGGGCAAGAGAAATAGCTGGAAATTATTTTGAAGTTCGTAATTCGACCGCTAGGAGGCGTAACTGCCATAGAGAAACATAAAATTCCCGCTATCTCAGAAAGGTAGACGATGAGCTATAACTTTGACAACATCATTTAGTATCTCTTTATTTAGTATCTTTATCTTAATCGGATCAAGTTACCTTAAGAAACAAATAAGAGAGAACAATCATTTTATTATCTAGAACCTTCTAGAACACTTTATCCAAGCTTAGAACTGCTTCAAAACTACTTTTGAGGCGTGTTGAAAAGCCAACGGATCAATGAGACATCAACAACGATAATAAAACAAAATAAACCAAAACACTTAGAATAACTTAAATTTTTGGCAAAAATAACTCACTAATGTGCTAAATGCCTTTCATAAACCTCGATGCATTTATTTAATCTAGTTTCGACGAAAAAAAAGCGCTGCTTAAGTCTCGGCCCTAGATACGTTTCTACTGGTATTTAGTGTTTTGTCATATTTTCTCTGGTTATTGGTTTTTCTTGAAAAGTCAGGTCGTTTAGTCTACCCAATAGATAAAGGGGTGAAAGCAATGTGGGTTTTTCTCGAACCAGGAATGCATATTATGCAAGTTTACATCAGCTTGTGGACAGATGCTTCATGCATCCATAGCATTTGTGATAAAAGGTTTGGATTTGCCCAAATCATATTTAAAAGTCAATGGTAATAGTTCAGTCTGTTATCATAATCGGTATCTGTTAAGGCCTGATGTAAAACAACGTGGTGGAGATATTATTCTCTTGAGAACTCTTGTGGACAATTGTTTTCGGAGTTCCCAGATTATGTGGGATCACATTGCGCACCAATATGATTTACGAATTCATAGAGATGTCTGAATGGGCTACACGTTGCCAGTTTTCCGTAATCGCTAAGTCAATCTTAAAAACACTTCTAGAGAAAAATGTCTTTCTTTGTCGTAATTGCATTGCACATTTTTGCCATGCAGTTGCATCGTATTCGAAACATTGAAAATAAATCATCATACGCTCTATCATACGCTTCTGCGTTAGTAAATGACATGTTTACAGTTACCATGGTAATGTGATTTGCTTTTCTCGATGAGGTAACTGAATCCGATTGATGGCACTCGAGTTTTTAACATTTTCTTCTATAACTCGAGAACGGGTGGCGATATCGAGATGCGGTTTTCACTAAAATTTAGCAAATTTTAAGGTGACTAAGGGTCTGTGAAGTAAATAGTATCGTTCCATTTAACTTTTCTTCAAAAATCACAAAAATATGTAATCGCTGCAGATAACGTCCTCTAGCTCATTTGTTTTAAAGCAGACGGTCTTACTGAAAATATCTTTAAAAAGAGCATAAAATGCTCTTTCAAACAACACCGAAAACATTCAAATCGGTTGAATGGTCCAGGAGATATTAAAATGTAAACATATGAAAACGTATTGGCCTCCCCCTCCCTTATTATGACAGATATGAGAAATATCGCAAAACAAAAGCGATGCGGTATTATCCAAGCTATTAAATGATGTTGTCAAAGTTATAGCTCATCGTCTAAGTTTCTGAGATAGCAGCAACTTTATGTTTCTCAATGGTAGTTACGCCCCCTAGCGGTCGAATTACGAACTTCAAAATAATTTCCAGCTATTTCTCTTGGTCACTTTGCTTATAAGGATTTTTTTCCCAAACCTCTTGGGCTTACCGTTCTAGAGATACAGCCGCTCAGTACGCTTAACGGGACACCTGTATATAATAGTTTTTGTACTTTTAAACTGTGAAAACATTAATTTTATAATGTCGTGAAGTAGATTAAGATATCAAATTTTGTAAATAATTTTAATAGATAATAATAGATAACAAATTTTAAAAGCTTAGAACGTTCTGAATCTAAATATAAAATTGAAATACGGATAAAATGGATTTCGATTATAATTCTTTACTTAAAAGTGTAACTATGAAGGCTTTCACGACCGGTGCTCATTGAACTAAAACTAAAAGTAACACTAGACCTAGAAATAGAAACTCGGGGTAAGCTATCTTCAGAAACAAGTTGGTAGTGCTTAAAATATACCACAACCTAGGTTAGGTTGTAAATAATACTAATAAAGCTAGAATTAACACTATCCGACTTGAGAGGTGCATGGCTAAACCTCAATATTTCTAGTGTTCCAGTTTTAGTTCAATTGGTCAAATTTAAAAGGTATGAGTTAATTTAAAGTAGCACCTCTTTAAGACGAACGCATGACGACGTTTCTCTTAGTTCAGAATATCATATCTACAGAAAACTAGTTCTGTCACAGTACGCGTCCGGTCAGAACTTCTGTAATTACAAAAGTTCCGGAAGCGACACGACGGTTGGGGAGTCGACGGCTCTCTCGGAGCTTTTGCAAGCCGAAAGACGCCCGCAGTTAGTTCCGACGCAATGATTTATGTCCGCCGACGTTGCAAAGAGGGCTGCTCCCGGCAAGTCCCGGCAGCGTCGGTGTAAGATTTCGACAAATGCTCGCATTCCCGGCCGCAATTTAGAGTTACCCGGGAAAGTTTTCATTACGACGAATGGGCTCAGTCCCGACACGGACCGAATCGACCGGATTCATAATACGTTTATTTGAAATTCAAATGGCCGCTTAGTTACTCGAATCACACACAGATAACCTCCGGGTCTTGTTACCTGTAACAATTTTTTTTATTTGTTTTTATTTTTCTATTTCCTTATTCCTCGGTTGTAAAAAAAACTACTTAAAGAAGATACATAGTAAAAAAGATTCTCACCGATCTTCCTCAGACGTCCAAGATCCATACAAGTCTTAACAGATTCACTTCGGTGTTAACAAAACGGGGTATTCTCAAGAAATCCAGTTAAAGTCAACGTCAATTCGCCGGCAGACAGCTTCGCGAGTGAAAAACGCCTTGCAGACGGTATCTCGTACCGTATACGCGGTATTCACAAACGGGAAAGTAGAAGGAGTAGACAGCCCGGCTTACGAACGAGGAAGGAACGGAAGAAACGATCCCCACGCGTCCGAATAGACAGTGATGTATAAGTCGTGAAATTAAAGTTGCCGTGAAAAATCGCGAGCCGCCCAGATGAGCGCGGTAGATATCGAGGTTTCGTTCCCCAACGAAAGGTATTTGCAACTGCAAGGAACGCCCACAGACTTACAAATACTCGACGGACGGAACTGTTAGTCAAAACGTGTGATTAATAGATACTTTCTGAAATGATCTAAGTTTATGATAACAAAGTGGTGTAGAAACATTTCATTTATCATTGTAAATAAATTTAAATTTTAGTTTTCATATTATAATAATCTCATTAAGGGAAAATAGTTTTGCATCGAGCGCTAGGCGGTGCTGCGACGCGGTACGTGTTGCAACCGGGAGCGCCGGAAATTGGCGCAGTCGGCGCCTGCTTCCGGTTCCGCTAGCGCGGCGTCGCATCGGATCCTGACAGCTGCAGGACCGCAACTGACACTGAGGCTCCGAGTTCTCGAAATTGTCGACGAGACCGCCGCCAACGTGAATGTATCTATCGATGTATCTCTCCATCCATAGTATACATATACTATGTTGATGCGAAGACTAAGCGCTGTCGACGTGAGTGATCAAATTTTAATGCAATAGACACTTTGTAATTGAATGGGGGAGGAGTAACGGAAGTTGCGGTTACGACTCCCTTCGAAAACAAACGTTACCAAGAAATGGATTTAATGAGACACTCGAATGATTTATGTAAATTGAGAAATGCAACTCTTTTAATTTTAATTATCACGTACCTTGGATTTCCTCGTAATGCTGCATGATGAAGGGCGTTGAATCCATTGTTGTTGGTGAGAGTAATGTCCGCATTGTGATCCAATAAAAGTGTCAGCATATCATCGCGTTTTTTAGATATGGCATCATGCAAAGGAGTATCACCTTCGGAATCCTGCAAAAAAAAATAACTTGTTCAAAAATAAAAAATAAGTCGAGTAAGAGTTTCGTTACAAAAGAACCTCATCGCATACAGGACAGATATATCGCCTCTGCGATGTGGCAATTTCGTTAGAGCCCCATAACTTTCGTCTTTTTTACGATACGCCGCAATTTACGTCGACCGCCCGTCCAATTTACGGCGGTCATCCAATTATTTGAAAAGTTGAAAAGGACCGAAAACTACGCGTCACGGTCGCCCCGATCGTAGAACGTCGCGTTTTTGTTAGCGCCGTTATAAATCGGTTAGGTGGGTTGTAATTGCGTCTCCGCCCCCCGCACACATTAATTTATTGCCTGAACCCTCATTCGGAAAAAAATTCCCGTCCCGTTCTGAATCTATTGCATTTCATATTACGGGATGACGGTGGTCAGAGGCGAACTGGCCCACTTTTCGGGACTAGGGGCGCCTGAATCCGTTTTTAAGGGGTTAAGTACCACCCCCGGTATAATTTACAAGCTGTAATAACGAAGCGAGCTCGGATCCTGAAAACCCATTCAACGAAGCTGAAACAAGATGGACGCACCAAAAGCCAGTTACTGTGGTTGTACCAGATGGCCACTGGATGCTATGCTCGTGATCTTAATAAGCAAAAACTCGAGCTGTTTTTGTTTTTAAAGTAGAATCTCGCGTTCTTTCAAATATTGCGTTTTTTAACCCGTTATTATAAACCTCTCAGCGATACAAGCGTAAAAAGGTACTCATGATATAACCTTATAAGTACGCAGGCTTTCACGGCTGATGTTAGTTGAACTAAAATTTTAAGCCTTATTATAATTCTAGGTCCAATGTTATAATTATAGTGATACCCTGTTTTCCCATAGACTACGTGTAATGTGTTATTATATTACAAGCACCGACATGATTGAGATTATTCAAATGTTTGGATTATCAAGAATTTATATAACGAAAAAGGAACTAAATGAATATGTATTTGCAATTCATCATGCAAACAAGTATAATCCCTTTCCGCAGTGCAGCGGGCGTAAACGCCAGCGCCAATCCCACTCTTTTCATATTGATCTCCGCATGAAATAGATAGATATAAATAGACGGATACATATAGAGAAAAGACGGATCGTAAAAATCTGCTCAATTATTTATTTACATACATATAAGTCGCATTCGGCATTACCATATTGAACGCATTTAACTTTGCCAAGAAATCCAATTTAAATACATGGAGTAGAAACATAACAGAATATGTAAACGACTGACTACAAGAAAAAATCCAGTCCGAGACTTTTAATGAATATGTAAATTACTAGCGAAATGTAATTATACATATCCCTTTCGCGGGCGAAATAAGAAAATCGTCCGGGATAACGGGACAACTTCGCATCTTTCCAGGAGGGTGGTACAAAGCGAAGGACTCTTAACGATTCAATGAGAATCCGGGTAGTGTTCCTTTTGATTATCCCACCTGGACGTTCTTCGTTTAATAAACGCCACCGCCTTGCCGTGGCGGTTACTCTTTATGACGGCTGAAAGTGCTCGCACCTCCCCAGAAGTTCTGCCGCTCCAGATACCTCGGATTCCCGTTTTTAAATTGCAAATGAGCGGCAAAGTCGCCCGGCGCCCGCGGACGCCAAAGCGAGATTGGAAATGGAAATATGCGAGTAATAGATTGCAGTAGAGGCAGCCCGAATGGGGTTCCGCCGCCTTCTCTTCCTCCTTTTACTCCTCTGGATACCGCTAATAAATAATTTTAAAGGGACGCCCGCGGAATAGAAATGGAATATCCCGCGATGGCAAACTACTCCTAGATTTCATTGAAATTTCTAATATTTCAAAGACTCAAAGACTCCTTAGTGAACATTATGCTCCGAATGGTGATATTTAAGTAACACCATATTTAGTTGGGTTATGTTTAAAATCACCTGTCAAAACTTCCTTCCATATCTGTTGTCATCTTCGTCTTCGTAACTTTGGCAATGTTTGTCCATTCTCGCAATATTAGGGACCAGCTTGGCGTTTTCTATTAAAGTTAGTAATGTACCTTCCGATATCGACGGTCGGCCAATACAATGCTAGGAGGTACCCACCACGCTCCACCACTGCTGGTTAAGGGGACGCCAAGGCCCGTTCTATTGGAAACTGGGGGCAATTTAACCAAGTCACGGAGTCTGTTTCATTTTGACCTCCGCTTCTGTGTTCCGGTCGGCGGCGGTAGTACGTGTATGTGTGCGATATGTGAGCCCATTCGAAGGGGGCCTCGTACGTGTCCGCGGAACTGTGTGTGTACATGTGAGTGTTGCATTCAATATCCGCGCGCACACGTGCACGCGGATGTGTGGCGGGGCCGTAACTTATGTATCCCGGTGGTTAAAGCGTGAGGGGCGCCCCCGATTCGGCTGCTATATGCTGGTAGTAGTGGTGGTGGTGGCGGCGGCGAGCGAAACCGAAGCGTCAGGATGAAAAGTTGTGACAAAGAGTCAGTGTTGGCTGGGCGGAATCGAAATGAAGGCATTTTCTCTGGTTCGTGTCTCGACATCATAAGCAGAGGGAGCAATGAGCTTCTTGGGTGGGAACGTGGTTCCCTTTGTATAGACTGAAAGTTGCGTTATATCAACGTTTCTTAATACTTCCGTTGAGAATACTTTTCTTTTACAGACAAACTTAATCAATTTAGTAAATGTTACCAAAGAAAATAGCAATAAAAATATTTTGAAAGTTATTTCCTTATTTCGCAAAATTCAGCATAGATAAAGAACGACTTAATGTATTACTTCCCTTTTCAGGGTGTTTCCAAGGATACGAATCATGCGATAGAGAACATTGTAAGTTTACCGGGAGTAAGAAGATACTCGGCGTCCTTTGTGTCTCTCCTGGAAACAGATGCCTGGACTTGATGGGATCATTTAATCTGAGCAGCCTAGTTCATCCATGATTTTCTTTAAGAGCTTCCTTCTATATATACATTCTTGTACCAAAAATAGAACGTGTTAATTCTAGTTTTAGTTGATATTTAGCGCTAGATTATTGTACACTTCTATTGAATTAAAGAATTTAGGTCTTAAGAGACGCATGGCAAAACCCAAATGTTTAGCTTTTAGTGTTAGTTAAAAAAATATTTTCCAAATTTCCAAAAATTTTTGTTATCATTTTCTAGTAAGAATAAATCTTGGTTTAGGTTTAAAATTATACTTGAATTATATCGCAGAAAATTTTACAACACCATTTCACTAATGACCTCTCGCTAACGATTTTTAAATGAGATAATGCCCTTTTGAAACCCCAAAAGTGGGGCTTGAATAATAAGTAGGGAGGGTGTTTGTAAGATATGAAAATTTGTTTCATAACGGCGTGATCCTACAATTTCCTCTAAACTATAATATCACGTTCAATTTCCCTTAGAGCTATTTTTTCGTCGGATAAGCTATTAATCGAGAAACGGTATCTGCCATCATCTAAAAAGAGCGGATTCCTGGTCCAATTAAGAGATGATATCAACTGGAGCTCACCATAGACCTGGGGGTCATGAAGCGGACGTAATTGTTCTGAAGGGAGGAACGGAAAAAGACCCAACCGTCCTGTGATTCCACGAAGATCAAGAATGCTCCGACGGCGGTCGGTCTTCTTTATATCGGCCGTTGCTTGCCTAGGAACGAAAACAATTTAATCAGAGCATCGGCGGAACGACGCAATCTTCTGTTATCCCGTGTGCCCGGGGCCTCCGAACATAGGCGCCCTATTCGCCCCACCCGGCCCGAATTGCCCGTTACGAAAAGCTCGCGCTATGAGTTTTAAATAGAATAGAACAATAACGGGAATGGGCTGCTGTGCTTCGAGGTAGGTACAAGAAGAGAAAAAGCCTCACGTTATTACGAGATTTCCATCCTCACTTAATGCCCTTTTCCCAACGGATTGCAGCTGAAGTTTCAACCCAGTTGAGGGGTTAATATTGACTTTATTACTTCATCGTCTCATTATTAAATTTGCGTTCATTTAGATACGATACTTTAACTTCGTTACTTGCAAATGAACTTATTAGCAATCCAATTTGTTTGATACTCCAGAAACATTATAAAGCAATCGTATTTATATTCATATAGACAAGATGATAAAACGAAACATCTAATCACCAGACTTTAATGTCATCGTAGATAATGATTTTCAGGAAAGCGAAGTTCGGTGGAAACTCGAAACAATTTCCAAGTAAATAATATGCAGACTATATAACTTTAGCGCATAACCGAGACGTACACGATGAGTTCGTACTACTCGACGAACCTCTAGGGCGACTGAAGCACCGTTAAAGATGGAACGTTAAAGTCGAAAATGAGACGGCAAAGAGAGAGAGAGGGAAATCCATGGGCCGTATCGAAGGGCCACGGTTGAATAAATTGTATGTTTATCGTCGCACGATATCAGTTTGCGAGTCGAATTGAATTTTTATGGCCTATTATGCTACGATAGTGTTACGGAAAGGTGCCGAAAGCGGGATTATTAGGGAAAGGCAGTTTCAGGAATCACCAGGATCGGTCGTAATCCTACGGAGAAGACCATTGAGGCCTTGCGTTTGCTCTTAGATCAAATTACTGAAATTACAACTGCCCGCCAATAACAGGTAACGATATGTATACTGCTATAGTTAAATATAAATATATGCCGTTATAAAACTTTATATTTTGTAAAGGTTGCTTGAATAAAAATTAACCAATATGAGAATTTTGATTACTTCATTATTCACAGGACGCGGACAGGTTTGTTTTTCCAGCAAAAATACTTATTGGTACGGTATAAAGCAAAAGCGTCAAATTATCGCCAGGTCGATGTAATGAAAATGTATGAAATGAGCGGCGTCGCGACGCGGCTCCTTTCAATCGGTATTCCGGCGGCGCCTCCTTTAATCTCAACGCGCACGAACCAATATACTTTGAAGTAGATTGCCAATTTATCTTCTTAAATATTCAATGCGGAGAAGCTACGGAAGCCCGTCCATATTTTCCTCA